CATTGGGCGACGCCTACCGTGTCTCGGGGATATTGCATTCATGTGTTCAGCAACCTTTGAGGACAAACAATCCCTCCCGCTCAAGCAATTCGTAGGCGGTTCAACTTCGGCGGCTCCATAGGAAGTGACGAACGCGCTCCGGAAAACTCATCTAGGAGGGCTGCTAGTTCCTTACATAGGGGGTTCTCTTTGATATTCTTTTCTTTTTTTCCTTGCGTGGAGGGTCACTTGGAGACTACAGGCTTGTTTTGTTATTGAACACCACTACCCATACGCAATACGAGGTTGTCCTTGAGTGGGCACAGGCTTCTCCTGACACCAGGCAAGGGCACACATTTGTTGGGGATATTAGTCGAGTCCGTACGACCGCCCCATCTTTTTTTTGGGGGGGGGGGTCGGTAGGGTCCCCCTGTCCGGCCCTTTGTCCGTCTTCAGCGACAGGGCACAGCATTCGATGGGGATTTTGGTCGAGCCTGTACGACCCCCCCCTTTTTTGGGGGTTCGGTACGACCCCCCCTTTTTTTGCCGTTCGGTTTTTTTCGCCTTAAATGAAACTATGAAACGCCCACTATGAAATTCTACTTGTATGAAGGTGCCCATACTAAATGGACGACTTGAAGTCATGACATAATAGAACAATACAGAGATGATTGCAAACAAAAAACGGTACAATCGTATTATGAGAAACTCGTATGATGAACTTCTTCGATGGCCGTTTTGAAACACACATGGTAATAATAACGACGCGATTAAATTCAATGAGCATTCGTTAACCTGAGGTGGACTCCCTCTCTGGGAGCGGCCATCAGCGACCACAGTGTTAACAACGTCTATTCCCAAGATTGAGGACGAGGAAAAGAGAAAGTTAGGCTTGTCTCACTACGTAACAGTTATACAAACCGCCGTAAAAAAATGCATTACCCCGATTATGTGGAGTACGGTAGCAGAATACGCATGTAATTGCAGCTGTGACCGGAGATTATTCGGCAATTTTAGCCATGGAGCGAGAATTTTCAGCAAAGTAGGGTGTCTTTGAAGGACCATAACTTCCTCAAAAGCGGACCTGTGGGGAAGAGGAGACCGTATTCGTGTAGAGGAAGGATTGCACTTCCTAAATGTACTGAAACGTTTATGAAGGTCGCAAAAATCACAGAGAAATCTGCCCATAGGGATTCCATGGGGAGTGAAGGGTTGAAGTTTAAGTTGAACAGGTTTGAATCAATATATTTTTTTTGTAACTCAACATTTCACAAATCTGAGAACGGATCCGAGTGTTTAAGATTTTCTCTTTCTGAAAACCTCTTGAACTGTTTCTGAAGCTCTCGGGATTCATGAGATCTCGCTATGGGGATTTTGAGGAACACTCCCAGCTGCGCGAAAAACCCGTTTCCTGTGTACCGTTTCAAGTGAGCGTGTTCGAATAGCCAGGAACGCATGTAGAACGTATCCTGTGGTGGAGCAGGAGCAGGATATGGTTCGTTTAGCGCCGATCACGCCAACTTTGGATGCGCCGCGCACTGAGGGCCGCGCAGAGGTGATGGGATGGTGCAACTTGTGCGTAATGTCTGTTCACGCGAGCAAATGTGTCTATAAGGTTCAGGGAGGTCCATGGCGAGCCTGTGCACTTGTTTACAGTGTTTTCCGTTGCGTATGATGGAACATGTCCCTGTCAACGCTGCCAGACTCTCGTGCTCACTGGTGCATGCGTGACTCCGATAAAGGAGACCAACTGCTGGAAAACGTCTGATATGAACGATATGGTAGTCCTGTCGCTTGTCGAGAAAAAGGTTGGCTCAGCGCCAAGCGCGACCGCGGACACGCCATATCATTGGCAGCGAACCAGAGTTTGAGTTGTACTGTTTAGTCACCAACGGACTTACGAGATAATGTCGACTTATTAATATTTGCAGTTATTTCGGATTAGTTTGATGAATGAAAGTTTTGTACTATTTTTTTGCATATCCGAGTTCTCTACAAAGCAAGTTTCGTTGTACAGGACTCAGCACATTGACAATTTGCGCTGGTCGTTACTGGCTGCCGCACTCACTACGACCCCCCCCCCTCCTCTCTCTGCTGCGGGCCAAATACGACCCCCTGTTGGGGATTCCCCAACCAACGATGTGCCCTGTGAGCGTATCGAGCCGTCGACGAGGGCGGGGGTGTAAATACACAATAGTGAAACAGGATAAGCCGTAAACTATACTGACGCACTTTCTCGCCCGCCTTTCTAACCAATTACCAATCCTCGCAGAGATATTTCGCCCCAACTTTCTTGTCACTTTTTCTCGAAATTTCTCGAGAATTTTCCATACCTTTTTCCCAAATTTTGCTTTCGGCGGTTTTATATAGTGGCTGTGAAACATGAAAATCGCGAAAACAGCCACAACTCGTACAAGGACCAGAAAGTAATACGCCCCCGCCCCTCTCAACCAATGAGCAAGTACGACGCCCCCGCCCTTTACGAGGGGTCGCTCGGAAGAGCAGAAGAATCAATGTCGCATAAATAAATTTTTGCAAACCAGTACGACCACCTCTCCTGGCGCCAAATACGACACCCCATGTTTGGCTTCCCGAAACGATGTCCTTGCTTGACACCTACCGTGGTTTTGCAAGTGTTGAACTAATTCGTGGCGAATTTACCCGCTTAGCTGGCGATCTTTCCGAACCGATCAGTTTGTTAAAACACAGGGGAAAAACGAACTTAGACTAAGCTCCAAACTGATACTCAATTCTAATGATCGGGAAGAGTAGTCGAAATTCCTTCGTTCCGTTCAGAACCGCGACATCGAAACGTAATCGGACGAAATGCTTTTTTTCACATCGAAATTCAGTCCGTGAGCTTTCGGTATAGATTTTTTTTCGTTTCCGAATGATGACATGAAATGGAAATGCGACGGAACAATGCAATCGAATTGAAGAAGGCCGCTACATATGTGTGGGAAATGATGGATAATGCGTCTTTACCCAGTTAGATATTCTCTCGAGACGTATGTACACTCGAAAACCCCGTGATGTGGTAGGCTTGGCTGCGATCTTCAACTAAACGTAGCGGTAGCTAAGCTCTTGGTGAGGTGTTTCGATGTTGAAACACGCTGATCGTCTCTTACCCAACGCAGATAAGGGGTCTTACTGTAAACAAGTCGTTTTCCGATCCAGTTGTGCACGATCCGGTCATGTAATGCAATGTACACTCTTTTTCCCTGAGCCAGAGTAGGCGTGGCATTTGAACATGGCACGGAACTCGTTGCTCGTGGAATATTCCAGTCTGGGACAACTGTCATCTTGTTCTGTTTGGACAGAGACACGACAACAATTGTGTCAAGATGAAAATATCTCACCAGAAGCATAGACACCTTCAGGTTAAGTTGAAACATGCGGCCACGCCTATCCCGATCTCAGGGATTTGGATGACATCACTCGAAGAATTGTCAGTGTTCCCTATACCACCTATGTAGGACATTCATAAGTCGAGGGGACGGTGAGGATGACTAAGACCTCGATCCTCAAGCCCCCTCTGAAAGCTGTGATCCATCTAACAGAACAGTGAACTGAACAACATGCAAATGGAGCGAACTCCAAGCTCCGCTAGCGATCAGAGTTCAGGATAGTGTCGCTCCCATTGAACTGTCAACGATTAGGTGTATCTCATATACTGTTGCAATCACCGCACCAGCAGAAGGAATGCGATGAAAGCCCCGTGGATGGGTGAGATGATGAAGGAAGCTTGCACTGAGATTCTCACCAAGAAGGGAGGAAATTTAATTAAGAAAATTTCCCCGTTCATGGCTGCAGAAGAAACAACAAAATAGTTAGTGAGAACCGTCTCATTATCAAGCACTTCCTCCCTTCACTAACTGGTTCGCCGTCCAATAATTTTAATTCTGGTAAATTGGTTTTATGGATATAGTGTACGCCACGTCTACAATATACCTTAATGCTGCTTACGCCTCTTAGGCAACGTTCGCATTTTGCGATAGTAGAAGAGGAGAAAGGGTGTCAGATTCAATCATGTGTATTCTGGGTAATCGTGTAAGTTACACGAGCAGCGAATCGCTGAAAATGTACAAGGAATAGCCGGGCGCTCGATCATGGGCTCCGTTTCTCTCGATTCGTTTAAGCGCTGAACAGTCTTTGACGATGGGGGGGGGGAGGGGCATTTTGCACTTTTGCTACTTCCCATCGACGTGTCGACCTATCTAGGCAGCCTCTTCTCGAGTTGACAGGTTTTACCATGATGGCTAGATGAGCTTGCTCCAGCTTCACAAGAGTTCACAGGTTTCGCCAGAGTGAGACTTGTAAACCGGAACTAGGGAAGCAATGATAGTACAAAATGCCCCCACCCGTCGTCAAACTGCGTAGTCTCCATCTACACTTTGTTGCGCAAGCTCGTTCAATTCCCAGTATGCCATTATCCTACTCCCCCTCGCAAAGTATGAACGACGCCCTCCCCATTTCGTCGGCGCTTTGAAGAGCTAAGCACGAAGGACTTGAAGGAAGCAACCGCACCGCGGAAATAAACAACACAAACTTTTTTAAGCTTCTGTCTTTTGCCTAACTCATTCAAAGAAAGGAATCAAAGGATCATTTCGCGATTATCTTTGTTGAAGCACTTCTTCATACAGAAGGTATTGCTTAATTTGATAAGTAAATTATGAAGCAAAGGGATCGGTCTGCGATGCCGCGTGGATGTGTGTGTGCACGCATGCAGCCATATCTACCGTAGCGGTTATTGGCAAGATGCCTACGGGAAACTCGTCCGAAATTATTCCTGAATTCACTAAGGTCGAAGGCTTTTCTATGCAGATTTTTGACCATTTCACTTTGTTCCATTTTCCCCACTTCATAGCACCCCTGCTACCATTTTAGAACGAGTACATACTTATCGTGCCAACGTGCCTTTAAGCAGCACATTCGATCTCATTATACCACCGCATTTTTGCGATTTGTGATTATTAAATGTGCCCTGAAGACCTAGCCTAGTAAATGGTTGCATGTGAATAATGGTGTCAATCAAGTGGCCTCCGAAGCGAACCAGAAATCAAGAAAAGCATCGGAAAGTGACTGATGTATGGCACAACCCATTGAAACGAAAGTACTGACCGTGAGGAACAAAGTCTGAGTGCAAGAATTGTTGACAACATAATTTCCAATTCAGTTCGCATAATTTCATCAGGTCGTCTACCAGTGCATGTGATTATTTCGTAGCATAGCGTTGAAATCAGGAACTGTCGAGTTTTGCATTTCCGGTTGTGAACCGAAAAGTTCCCTGTATAAAATAATAGATTCGCGAGCGTTTCGAACCTTGTCTGAGCCTTTCGTTTCTGTTGAGCGTTGTCCCTTCTATACAGTCTAGTCATAATCACCAGCTTCTGTTTTATTTTGGATTACTGTAGAAATACTTTTTTCTTTCTGATATATACCAAGGAATGTCGTCGGATCTGCTATTCCTGTTTCTGCCTACAGCTATCTGTATAAAATTTTTTAACTTTGTTCTTGATCTTACTTAACTCTATGCCTTTTACATTTGAGTTTCGGCCTTTGCTCTCATGAGCTACTCATTTTGGCTCATAGGTTTCTCCTCTTTGATGCCGTCAATTACGCCAACCACTCATTTGGAGCATCTGAAAAGCGACCAATCCTCTAGATTTATTTGCCTGATTATGATTCTATTTAAAAATTTCAACTTATCTGAGCTGATTCGAGGCGAGCCCCAGCTCTGTGGGGCCTAGAGGATCGGAACACCTAGGGGGTACATGTTTTATCTATCTTTACTGGAACAGAGGAGCTATTTTTCGCGTTCTCGTTTATCAGTGGGAGCATAGCTCATGCAGTTGCTATCTGTTAGGGGAAACCACCTTCTGACAGTCCCACCGTAAAGATCCCAACTTCGATTCCTTTTTGCTTAGCTGTGTCGGCAACAGAACACCACTGGGATGAGTGTAGCTGCTAAGTCAGTAGGGCACATGCCGCATCAAGGGAAAATTCTGCAAAGTAGGACCCCCTCAGTATTTCTTTCTTCGATCCTACCAATTTTTACGGAATCTTTTTCCTACGGTCTCCCCTTTTTTTCCCAAAAAAACTGTCATTGTTGGCGAGTAGTATTAACTAGCGCACGCGAAACACGGTGACGCTAGAAAAGTCAACTGAAAGCATTTTACACAAAGGCGACTACGACTCCCTCTTTCCAGCAACAATGTACGACTCCCCTCGCTGGGAATCCCTAATGTACAACGAGCCCTGCGTGTAAGCACAACCACCATGCCAAACTGCGTAAGCGCTGCTCACTCGCCAAACAAGAACGAGCTCCCTAGCACAATACATCTCCATTTTTCCAGCTGGAATCGAAATCGGCTCAGGGCGGGGTAAGGCAACATCCTCGATCTGTTATAAGAACTAGTAACAACGAAAAACATTCAAAGGGGAAGAACTATTTAGTGATGACTATGACTGCCTCGCCCGCACGGGTCGAATACAATCCCCTCTTTATGCGATTCTTTCAAAGATGGCGCCAACTACTGGTTCTTCTAGTTCCTTTTTGCCCTGTTTTCTTTTTTGTAAACTTAACTCTCGCTTCTCTGCGTTTTATAGTCAGATCTAATGATTTTATGGTTATGTCTTCTTCAACAGAGATAGGATATGTTTTCAGAATAGTGTTTTTTTGCAGCATTCAATCGCATACGCAATGACGGAACAGAATACTGTTGTCGGATTACTGTCGGCGAACATTAGCCACCGCGCTTTATGGGTCTTGTTATGTACCAGTACGATGGTTCGAAGCTGGTGACGGTAATATACAGCATATAACATTTTCCTATACGGTGGGGTTCTCAAGAAGAATACTCTAATTCCAGGGATGTACTTCCAATGGTTGATGTGCATTGGTCAACTGATAGCCGGTGTTGGTGTTCTTGCATTCACTGGCTGGCCACCAATATATCCCTTAGCACTACTGGGTGGAATGTTCTTTGCTATAGGTTCGTAAGTAAATGTGAAGTATCGTTTTTATGTGAAAAATCCATACAGAGTCGAGAACGTTGTGTCTTTACTTTTGGTGGATTACTTCTTTCTGAAAATATGACAGTAAAGAGGAGTGGTGCGTCTATCGGAAAGACAACATTTACAGTCCTCATCATTGCGGACCGGTGGGGCGTGGCAGTGCGGCTGCGTTTGGTGCGGTTTGGCAAAATCGTTCTGCACCAGTTTTTGAAGCGGGCAAGTGCATTACTGTATTATATCCTTCGTATTACTCGTTTTCTACCACTTTTTGTCGCATACGCGTCAACAAAAAGGCTGAGAACGGCTTCAACAGTGTGCGCACTCCTTCTGGCTGACACGCCCCACCGGTCCGCAATGATGAGGACTGTAGGTCAAACTCGGTCCATACGATAAACGTGGACTGGGCAGAATCAGGGTGTAGCGTCGGGATAGACGGAACGGTGATATCAGTACAACTGCCTTCATATTTTCTATAGAGGGAAACGCACTGATATCTCGCCAGTCCAGCCCTCCCTTCCCCCTTTTTTTCTTTCCCGATTCTTCGGATTCCTTACCAAATTCCCTAGGAAATTTCCCCATTTTTTCCGTGGCAAAATGGCATCCCGGCGTCGAAGGAGGAGGGGGAGGGGCGAAAATTTGCTAAAAGTCGACAATTGAAAAAAAGAGTTGCTCGAAGTTTCTCAAAGCCAGATATGATCTTCGTCGACAAAGTACGGCCACCCCTCCCGATGGGATTGTTCCATCGACACTGTTCCCTAGGTAGTCTGCACTCAAGCAAACCAACGCAAACAAAAGTAGATTATAAAAACTACGGGGTGATGTCATCATAGAGATGATTTCGTCGCAATCAGTGGGGGCGGTTTCAAACAAAATGGAATGGACCCACTCGCGGCGCTCCTACCACTGGTTATTTTCTTCGTGAATCGAGCGCTATCGCTTTTGGTAAAGAAGGTCAGTCTCATTCCTCAATCCGCCCTTGGTGACACCGTCCTGTCTGATTGCGATGTCTATCAACTGCACCGTACTGGAGTCATGTATCCTATTTAAGTAATACTTATATGTTTAATTTGGAGCACACTTTAGGGAATGCGCTTACCATTACCATAATGGATGGCATAGGAATGGCTGTTGGTTCGTTACTGTGGAATTCAGTAACCTGTGTAGTAGGCTGGGCTGTATCCCGATTCGGATTATTCGGGAGCCTCAAAAAAGTGCCTTACGATAATGTGATGAACATCATCGGTGTCGTTGTCGTCTGTATTGGGTAAGTGCTTATACTTTCTGAACCATACTATACATAGCTGTAAACTATACATTGTGCATATAATAGATGTAAGCTTTACTGAATCATCTTCAAGTAACATTTTCATGAGTGTACCACATCAATGTAGTATGACCAGTAGCAGAGTGTGACAAAATTCTTCGAGAGTGTAGCCACTATTCCATACTGTTAGAAGAAGCTAAACATACTGGCGCGATGTGGAATAATGGTTACTGTGAAGTTCGCCCATGGCTGCAGTGCCCGTTCCTAGAAGCTCGTCCCCAGGGCTATCGCAAGTTGCAACTTAAACAAAATATTGTAATCTCGTTATTCATATTAGAAGTAGACTTTGACATCACTCTGATGACTTCGACGAGTGACGAAAATCCGTAATGGCTGATGAAGGAAGACTTGCCACCTTCATTTGTGAACTCAAGACTAGATCAGGCAAAAGTAAGACGAGCCACCTTTCCTACTAACAGCCATCGCTTCCCAGTACCAACTTCAGAGACCAGAGAGCTGTATAAATTCCGATGCCCTTTTATATTAGCCATTTACATTCTTAAATCAGTGTACGGTTTTTTTTACTTATACGTTATCTACTTTTGTCTGAAAAGGACTGGTCTAGTCTTGAGTCGTGGCAAGTCTTCCTTCATCAGCGACAATAGATTTTCTTCGTCGAAGTCGGTCAGATTGATCCCAAAGGCTTACTTCTAATACGAGTAACGAGATTATAAATATTTTGTCAACTTGCGACTTGCGATAGCTCTGGTGTGCCTTACGATGTTGGCAGGAACTTCTGTTGGATCAGCGTGACGCTTAGACTGGTCATCGTCTTCGGAAGCCTAGAAGTGGTTCAAAGCTCAGATGCATGCGCTAATCACTAAGCGCCTCATCTTTTGTAATGGTTCAGGCGTTCTTTCGGGAACCTTTAACAAAAATCGGTGAAGCGTCGCAACGGTTATCACAAATTCAGTAAGCAAACTCAAGCAGGATTCTATCTTTGAACGGAAAAAAACTATTACTGGTAGATGTGTCAAGCGCTCTGTGATCATCTCATTCCAACAGCTCATTTACCGTGTAGAAATTGTCTCTGGAGAGTGACTCAGTGGCAAGCGCCCAGCGTTAGACCAGCGACCGATTTTGGCAGAGACGTATATATTGTGCGCATGAGAGAGATAGAGA